TATATGAGTACAGAGAACTGTTTTCCTAAATTCAACCAAACGTTCTCATAAACATCCCAGAAGTTTATTGAAAATTCCAAGGAAGAAGAGGCTGTATATAGAAGAAACCTTATTAGCAGTTAAAGAGGAAACCTTTGTTGAAGCATTCTCAGATTTTTCTCCAGATGGAAACACCATCGCAAGAAACTTAAAAGGATTTGATTTTAATACCATTAAGCAAAATTTTAACATCTTTATCGGAAGTTTTTAATTTTAATATTATGCAAGATAAGAGCTTCGCAACAGTACTCCTTATTATTGGAAAGATTTTCAATCTAGTAGAATGCATATTAATTATCAATTTTATTTTCCTCATATTGAAAAGTATTTTGATAAATTAAAGCTTTCCTTGCCTATTCACGAGTATCTCAGTATAAAAGTCTAAGAAAATTATAAAATGAAACTAGCAAGGAACATAAAATTTAGAATACCTACATGAGAATCCTGTTATAAATAGTCAGATAAACTGAATCATGAATTATAAAGTGAATTTTAGTTTAGCTTTCTTTTAAAATGGTGCCGTCAAGCAGCGCGAGAAAACTTCGCTAAACTCCCGGTCCAGGTGTGAGAACCTCCCGGTTTTTTATATTCTAGGGCTGGTAGGTTATGAGAGTCTACTACACTTTGCGAAACAGGAAACCCGAAAAAACAGTTTGTTACACCTTAGCCGGATTTCAAACTCCGGCTGTTCCAACTGCTAGTCGAATGTGCTAACAAATACAATACGAAGGCATACAATAAGCATGAAGAAAATTCTTTCTATTCTTCCCATTTGAAGAACAACTGGGAAGGAGGAGATATAGCTGCCAAGTCCAAGTGGTGATGAAATATCATCCCCCCTCCCCATTTTAGTCGAGCATCATTTGTACATCACGATATATATATGTATATCTATACATAGGAAAACGTGAGATAACGGGGATTTGAACTGCTTATTTTGCGATTGCCAGCTGGACGTGCTATCACTTATAAGATTTCTTCCTACCACGAACACGAGTAGGAAGGAAGCCGAAAATTCTTTACATTCTCTCTTACTTAAAAGGACGGCAGGAGAGAAATTGGACCTAGTCGATAGACCAAATCTAGGTGAAGAAAAATTATCGTCCACCACATTTTAGTCAGGGGCTACTTCAAACGTGTTACCTTTTAGGGCAACAGAAAATGTAACACAATCAGCCATGCCCTTGGATTCTAATTCCGGATCTTCTCAGTGGCAACAGGACATGCTACTAATTACATTATGAAGGCGGAAAGAAGAAAACTCTGTATATAATTAAAAAAGCTCTAAATAGTCAGGTGAAATAACGAATTACACACCAAACACGCACACTCATGTATGCACTAAATGTTCTAATTTCATTGTTATTTGGCATTTCCTGATCCCCCGAAATCGGCAACAGAAATAAAAGCTATAAGCGTGGACAATAAAAAATATAAGAAATTCATAAATCGCAAAAAATAACTGAATACCGCAAATGTTTGCATAATTTAACATTTTCCCACGACTACAGGTAAACTACTGAATATTTAAAGAGGGGCTAAAATTAATTGAATACGTATTTGCCAATGAAATTTTAAAAAAAAATGATTTGAAAAGGCATGCACATTTTCTCTTCTGAATGAGAGTAAAAATTTTCTTTTAAAAGTTTACTTTCCCATATTTTATTGCATTTAAAAGAAAGCATATGTGCATAGTTTTATTTTATTGTTTTATTCAGTCGATTAAATAGGCTAAATCGTAGGGTTAGATATACTGCTCAAGGAAATATAATGGTGCAACAAATGTATAAACTCGCTTTCAATATATGAGCGGCTTTTAATAATAATTTCAGCTATCCTGTAGATGGTGGAATCGTAAGTATCCTCTCATACGACAAATAACTGTCGTAAAAGTTAACGATCTGTAAAAGTTTGATGGTTTACCACAAGGCGAGCAAACTCTGCCGTATAAATGCATACACCATTGACCTAAGTTGAGAAAACATGCAAATAAAGGCACTAAATGCAACATCCCGTGAATCCAATGAGGTATTAATACAACAGCAAACAATAAAGGACATGTACGTTGAAAAGCAATATCTCAGATTTGCATTTTCTTTTTCATAATCTGGAAGATGTCCCGTATTGACAAATCTATGTTAGAAAGCTATTGCAATATTTATAAACAATTACCAGTTAACTACGATCGCACAAAGTTTTAACACACTGTGACTGAACAAGAAATTAAATTTTACGACAATATGATCATTTAATGGAAAAGAAATAAACTTAGAAACTTCAGAAAAAAATATAATATTTGGCTCTATTTTCTTATCTTCTACCGAAATCTAAATAAACATAATTAAATTGCAAGGGATTACGCAAAAGTATGGTAAAAACACTATCTGTCTTAAAACCTCTTCATCAACTGTCATTTATGATGAATTCAGCATTGTAAATCCCCCAACCCAAAATGGTTGCTTTTTTTTTTTTTTTTTTTTTTTTTTTTTGACTGAATATAAATCTTAAAAGACCTGGAGATGGACCGAGATTTGAACCCTGGAACATCCTGGTCAAACTGGCAGGTTGTACTTACCTATTAAATTATTACTGTTTCTATTCTTGGAACTCAAAGGTGAGATTTTGAAGATATGACCCTGAAACATGCATATTAAATCTCAAAAGTTCCGGAAAAGATGCAGAGAATGACGTGTTTAAAATTACGATTATTTTAAACAGCTGGGAGCCAGACATAAGCGGATTTTTATTAGATTTACATTTTTTACGTCATATTTAGAAAACTCCTTTATTGGCTTCGACTATGCTTATGCTATGTCTTTTTAGCAGTTAAAAGTCATGCCATGTTAAATGCACCACAGCCTGCGTTTCTTTATGAGTTTCACATACAAAGAAGGGTGTTCACACATTCATACAATAATTTCGATAAAGAATTTTAGAAAAGCAAATGTTTGGAATAGAAATTTCTGGCAACAGTTTATTATTTGAAATGAGAAATACTGTCTGCTACTTTTAAATATATTCTTCTTTCAAAATGTCACATGTAAAAAAGCTGTGGAGTGGAGGATAAGCATTTGGGCTTTTTGAAGAGAAATTTTCCCATTCCATGATTTAAAGACGTTCTGAAATGCATCGTATTAATATTTCTAAGTGCAAAGTAAGCAACGTTATTAATCGGAAAAGGAAACACCGTCAACCATTACTTCTACATGGAAAGAAGACTCTAAATGAATACTCCAAAAAAGTATGCAATGTTCCATATTTAAATCTTTGGTAACAAGGAAATTCCGCCGACGCAGAAATCAGTTGCAAAATTTTTATATACATCTTTAGAAACAATAAACAAAATAATAATAATAATAATAATAATAATAATAATAAAAAAACTATTTATTGTAGAAAACGAACAGAAAATAATGTAGAAACCTGGTTCCATCAATGCAAACAAAGTTTTAGTGAGAGGTCGCAAAATAAAAAGAATGGAAAAAATTAAAAAATGGAAAAAATTGTTAAATCAATTCAGTGTAATATCAAGAGAAAATTTTACGTCCGATATTTACAGAAGAAATTCCATTTCTTTATCCTAATGACTTTCAAAGAGTGAAACTTGACCAATACGAAGCAGCAAGCGATGTTTTGAGAAGTATCACTACAGTCGTTGAAAAAAAATGGAGACTGATACAAGTGCTAAACAAGTACAAGGACTGCATATATACCTTGTAGGAATTTATTTTAATTTTCTAACCTTTATTTTTATTTTGGAACAAGCCTTGTACAGTCATTAGGATTTTTTGGTAGCAGGAGATGTGAAAAATGTGTAATGCCCTTGCAGGGACTCCAACTTGGACTTTTCGAATACGTGCCGAGTGTACACTACGAAAGCATGGAGAAAGGAGGAAGAAAATAACCTTATAACCTTTCGTTTACTTTCTCGTTTCCCATCTATGATTCCCTATCAGAATGAAATTTTAGGATTACGTTTTATATAAATGAGGTAAAAACAAGTACTTAAGACTGAGTCACTTCACTAGAAGAGCCTCCTAGAGCGTAAGGAAAGCCTGTTTTGCTTTCTGGCCACGTTGTTCTTAAAAGTCTAATCTCACTACTATTCGGCCGTACTGTTATGTGCCTGCTAGTATTCGCCTGTGATATTAACTGTTAGTTATTTCTGTGCAGCTTCGGCTGGTTTTAGTTAGTATTAGATTAGTTCCTTATTTTCTATCTTGAGTTAAAGCTCAAGTGGAGATTTATTGTACGCCTGAGAAGGCGGCCATCTGTTAATTATTTTGAGTTGGAATATAGGGTAATTTAACCCTTCTTTGGACTCTTGCTGAATATTCTAGCTCTTTAAGACTACTAAACCATGTAGGATATTACAACATTTTCAAGGTATTTCTGTCACAGCCCCCTAACGTTTCATCTGGAGTACTGTGTTTTTGGTCTCCTGAAAAGAGCTCTTTCAGAACGCAAAACCCACGGCTATTTGATGGACTGTGGAAAAGGAACGGAAAGCAATACATTGGAAATTTTATGAAAAGCTCTTCTATCATGGACATCACGATGCAAACTTATAGTGCAAGTCCAGAAAACAGGCTCTCCAATCGAACATTTAAAAAAATATCCTTTACATTGTAAACATTCATTAAACTGCTCCAAATTGTTCAAAATTGTGTAAACACTCTTTGTAACTCACAATCTGACTGCACGCGCCCTTTACGAAACATTTAAGAGCAATCTGAAGTTTATACATTCAGTGGCATAATTCATGTCGCTCAGTAATAGTCGTAAAGATATCAAAACAGCGTGGATTCAAAAGTCAACTATAACACTATAAATAATGACAAAACATTTCTTCATAACTTGATATTTTAAGTAGTTGGTTATCATTACTAAATTTCAGCAAAATCTTTTACAGTAAGAATCTCCTAACTTTATAATAAAATAATATCGATAACTTCCTTTACCTTTTTAGAGTGTAAGCCACTTTTAGTTCTTCAGTAGGTTTGCCAGGCAGAAACGCAAATCCTAGAAAAAAGACAAAAAAATAAATAAATAAAACCAAAAAATGTTATATTAACTATGTTACGAGTTCTTTCATCAATATTCTAACACAATTATACAGTAATAACTATAAAAAGATTTATAAATATGTTATAAACTCAATAAATGTAAATTATGAAAAATAGGGAAAAATTACAAAAAAAAAAGTGCAAATTATGCGAAAAGAAAATAGTTAAAAGCATATTCTAATTTAACCTACTATTCGCGCTTCAGAATATTTGTTTCCCGAAGCCCGTCCTTAAAATTTTCTTCATCCTTAGCATTGTCTAAGAAGTATTTTTATATTGATTTTTCAAGAAACAATAGGAAATGAAATAATTTTGGATATATTAAAACTCAAATGATATTGCAATAAAATACTGAAATAAAAATTGAGAACAAAACACAAAATTTTTAAATCGCAAAAATTTAAAAAACAAAATGAAAGAATTTGCGAAGGCTTACATTAACAATCCTTAAAACTAGGTGATATAGAGGTTGGGTAGCCTTCAGTGATTAGTCTGCTTGAACTTAAATAACGACCTCCTTAAACAAACAAATTATGATTAGAAGTCTTACAGGGCCGAGAAATTAGAACATCCTATGTAACTGCCTTCGTCAAATCAGTAATATGATGGATGAGGCAGAATTTTATGCTGACATGCCATAGTTATGTGCTCATCGACACGCTTGACACATCAGGGTAAGTAGAGCTAAGACAAATGATGGAAAAATTGATAACTGTGGCACTGTGCCATATTGTTTAGCGTCCATGATTTTTTTATGTTTCCGCTTTAATTTTTTCGGTGTCAAGATCAAATGTTTCAGTTCGAAGTTGTCTTGACAGGAACAGCAGACAATTCAGTGAGAAAGAACACAAGCGAACGTAAGACTAGACATTTTGTCATGCGCCTATCGCGTTATAATGAATCATTAGATAGCGAGTTAAGGCAATTTTTGATAGTTGATTAAACACCGTAGTCCATTATTCGTTATGAGAAATAAATATTCATGAGCAAGTTTAGAAATAAAAAAGCAAGCATGATGCACAATTTCGATAAGCACTTCATACTATCTTCAAAGCCTATTTAAAATGAAATATAACACAAGATAAAATTCTAACTTTAATTGCTTTTTTGATTGGTTATTTCCTTTTTATAGCTTGAAAACAGTAATATGCTATAATAATCAATATTTTTAAAAGCATATTTTCAAAATTAATCCTTGTCATATGGTTCTTATATAAAATTGATATGCAAGCACCTGCATACCGGCAAAAAAGAAATTTAAAAAATAAATAAATAATTAAATCAGCAAATAGTAATGCTAAATTTGTAAACCGAACGTTTTGCTAACTAACATAAATAAAGCAAAACCATAACTTCATAAAGAATTATCACCTTTCTCCATGCATGCTCTCGCGGTGTAACTGCTTGCTAGTACATCCATCAGTCGGAAGACCTGTAGTTTCAGATGTGGCAAGGGTATCACAAATTTTTTCACCTTTTTCAGTCCTACAGCCAAATAAATCTACAACCTCACTACTTTTAATTTAGCACTCACATCGTAACCTTCGCCTTACGCTTCTCTGTGATACTGAAATGTAGTCCACTGCTCCAATTCTATCGCTATGCATTATTCTATGAAATGCCTGTAGTGCTTCAGTATTCTAATTTAATTCGAATTTAATTTCAATTTGAAGTTTCCTCATGCATTTACTTCATCATGCAACATATATATCATTATAAAATTACTTTTCTCTCTTTCTCAAGTTATAATTTTAATTTACATATTTTTTATTCTACACAGTCTTTCCCTTCAATGAAAAGAACGCTCAGCGACATGGTGTATTATAATTTTGCAGAACCTCATCTTTAAAAATTAATCCGTTTCATGCTTGTTTATGCAATCCTGCAATGCTACAGCTTTTATCCAATCGGATTAAATAACTTTTTGACTATTTTTCTGAATGCACACTCCTTTTTCCGCTTCACTCTGTTGCTACCAACACACATCCTTTGCCGCGCCATTTCGGTCATTATTTAATGATGTGACTAGCTATACAAAACAGCGGGGTACATATCGCACCCCTACTGATGCGTGAATGAGAATATGTATCGCGAATTAAGTGTCCAGAAATAGATTATGCTTGACATGTCTTCAGCCACGCCTGTCTGTGAATGTCGCAACTATCTTCTAATCATCAAGATATGTATTTACGGAATTTATTACATAGATATTTATACACAAACACACATACCCTATTCGGTATATTTGCCCTCTAATCTCATCGAATAAAAATCGTGAGGGGAAAATTACGAGAATATTTTAATTTCGGAAGGACGCTGTTACAGTAAGAACAAGAAAAGGAAAAATATTCATCGACTACCGGTAACTATCAGATTAATTATTTCTCTATAGACAACCTGCATTTCACTTAGACTATATAGCAATGTTAATATTATAATATCTAATAAAATATGTTCCTTTCGACTGCCTGTATCTTGAATTGCATCCGCTTTTACTGTTGCCCACTGTTACTTTCCAGGACTCAAAACATTCAATATTGTTGGAATTTCAGTCTGCGTCGTCTTCTAAAGCTTGCAAGTCTTTGCCAATGTTACTGCTGTCATTACCGTTTAGGGTGTCTTCCCAAGTGCAATGATCTTCAATATCATCAACAGCATTAGACATTCCTGTTTTCTTGAACTTCTTCACTATTATATCTTCATATCAATCCTACACCCATAATCCTAGTCCCTACACCCATAATCCAAGAGCAAATCAATTCAATATACAGTGGATTTTTCCTGTACTAGTAAAATTGTGCAAACCTACTAATATCCTACTTGCTGTAAAACTTTCAGGGGCAGTCTTTAAAGGGTTTAATCTCTGATACGCTCATTGACCGCAGACATGATATAAGTCTTCTTGGAATGATGACAGGAATGGTGTTTGTTCTGCTAATTTTTTTTTTTCCTCATCCTTAGAGATGCCCGAAGAAGCTGTTTAATACTACATTGCTGGCCCAAGTTCATCTGGCGAACTCGGAGGTGCAGCAAGCTGGGCTAGGCGTTTCCCATCATTGAACAGACATTCTATGGGCGATAAATCTCGAGAACGGCCGGGCCAGAGTAAAAGTGCAGTACGGATGGCTAAGAAGAAAGCTTAAACAATACCCGCAATCTATCTGTGGTCACCCACTGTCCTGGTGCAATGTAGTCGAAAGCAAGCTCTGAAGTTAATGAAACAGAACAGACAAAAGAACCTCAGATATCAAAATCGTAAAAAAAAACAACCTTATATTTAGCGTAGGTATAATGAAACACTCAATCGATTTCGAGGGCAGCTAAAGGTCCCTCCTCATCAGGAGAAAGAAATACATAGAAAGAAGAAAATAGGAATCACAGAAACACGTGGTTGCTTATCAGCACTGCACGTGGTTATAACTAGATTTTTAATCAGAGTTGCACTGGCCGCCTACTTTTACTGAGCCAGGCTGTCTGATCAAGTATAAAGAAATATTAGCGAAGTTAAAAATAGGGAGCGAGGGGCAAATGCACATTACGCTCAAAATCTGAACTTCAAATAATGGAAAGCAACCACTGAACGGATTTTTATACCTTCTGGTAGTACCAAGTGCGAGGAGGTAACGCCATCTATCGGCAAAAATAATTGAATTAAGACAGTAGAATTTTAAAGGCATTAGGAAGGACTGGATTGGACTTCAAATCATTAACTAAACTTTCTAAATCTTTGTGAATGTGAAAAGCCTCAAGAAAATCCAATTCGCCTATGGAAGAAGCCTTTTGGATGATTTTTGCAGACCCAAAATCAAAATTATGGTTAAAAGTCCAGCTATGATACGCTATTGAAGACTTGTTAATTTCCCCTTTTTTGACATAAGATTCATGTTCCTTGATACGAAACTTCAACGCTCTTTTTGTTTGGCCAATATATCTTCAACCACACTGACATGATATACTATAAATTCCCCAAGAATTCAAGACAGAAACGCAATCTTTTAGAATCGAAGGGTGAATTTTATTAATAGGGGAGAAACCGACTTGAAAATTGAATTTCTGGAGAATCCGTGCAATTTTATAGCTAACAGAAGGATAAAATGGAAGCACGACAAGGTCATTGATATTATTTCTAACAGTGGAATGTCTTCTTTGATGGGAATATGAAAATTTTTGACGGCTTTATCAATAATCACGGAGAAAAATCCACGGTCAATCGCAACTGCTCTCAAATAATTAAGTTCATTGGTAAGCAAAGATTCAGAGGAACAAACTTTTAGCGCGCGGAAAACATAATAGTAAAAAGAAGCCATTTTTTGCTTAACAGGGTGGCATGACTTGGCATGGGGTGGTAAACAAACTGCAAAGGGTTTACGGTACACAGTGGTGCTAAAATCGGTTTCATTGCGGATTATAAGAATATCGAGGAAGGGGAGGGAATTGTTGGATTCAATTTCAAGAGTGAATTGGATGGCTGGATCAATTGAATTCATAATAGATAGAATCTCGGATAAATCCTCTTTATAACCGTCAAAAAGTGCGAAAGTGTCGTCAACATACCGAATCCAAAGACGAAAAGATAATTTATCAAATAATTTCATCTCAAAATAGTGCATATAAATGTCAGCAAGTACCGGACTGAGAGGATTACCCATAGCCAATCCTTCAACTTGACGAAAATATGCATTTTGGAAAACAAAGTGGGTTTGACTTAGAGAAACTTTAGTAAGCGAAACCAACTCATTAATTTCAGTATGTGTGAAGTGAAATTCCCGAAGCCTAGTTTCAAGACAATTTAGTGCTCCTTCGACCGGAACATTGGTAAACAATGATTTGACATCAAATGAAACCATAATGGAACGAAGTGGGGAAATATTTTTAAGTTTATCAATGACTTCAACAGAATTTTTTACAGTGTGAATATTGTTATCAAGTAGAGGAGAAAATCTGGAAACTAAATATTTGGCCAAAGGATATGAAGCAGTACCTATGTTGGAAACAATTGGTCGAAAAGGAATACCGGTTTTGTGGACTTTTGGAAGAGCATAAAGTCTAGCGCAATTAGTAATAGGCGGAATAAGTGATTTCTTCAACTGAGTTGGCAGAATGTGGGAAGATTTAATAGCACTTTTTACTTTCATGAGGTCCGAAGTTGAAGGATCTTTAGGGATCGAGCAGTATGGGCCTTCATTTATCAATTTAGAGACTCCAGTAATATATGTGTGTTTGTCCATAACAACGATCTGTCCGCCCTTATCAGCTTTAGAGATAATGATATTAGTATCAGAATTAATTCCACGTAAGATCTCATTTTCCTTTTTGCTAAGATTAGAACCCAAAGATTTATTGTTAAAATTAACGTTATGAGTAATTAGGTGGTGGATTGTACCCTTCTGCGTTTCCGAAATTTTGGAGAATTTAAAGGCTTTCTCTATAGGGGCGATGATTTGAGGAATTGAAGGTTTAGATGTCTTTGAAAAGTTGAAATTATATTTTAATACTTTTAACTGATCCTCTGAAAGATTCCTATTGGAGATATTAACGATGGAGTTAACGTTT